TGAGATAATGTGTTTTTATATTTAATATTTTTTTCTCCATCCAAAAAGAGAGAAAGTATTTATCAATGGTTGGGTCTATGGGTGGAAATTGGAACACAATTCCTAATATAGAACTGAATTTTTTCGGTTTTGGAATAATATTTTCCATAACGAATCAAAGATTCTAATTCCATTTTTTTTATTGGAATTGGAATATATATATGAGATTCTGAATTTCGAATCAATCTTAATTTCCACAAATATTTAAAATATTCCGATTTCTTTTTTAATTTCCAAAACTTACAAGTGATATTATTACGCATATTATATATTAGGTGAATAAAAAATTGGAACTTTTCAAAATTCCGTTGCTTCCAACTTGAAAATTTTCAATTTTGGAAAACAAAAATATTCCAATTTCTATTTTTTTTTTTTTTTTTTTTCGGAAGGATTTGGAATCTTATTTAGTTCCGAAATTGCTAATTCCGATCAAATCCGTTTGATTTCCACAATGGGCCGTTCGAGAATACAGTAAGGCCTAACCTAAGTCGTTGAACAGAAAAAGTATGGCCCAAATTTTCATTGCTTACATTGATTAAACTATGGGCCTATCAAATCGCAAATAAACATATTGAGTCCACTACAATTAAATCAACTAAGTTATCTTAAAATTATTAATTTGACAAAAGAATAATAATTTTTTTAAAAATGTACATTAAATGATTCGAAAAAAAAATGTAAAAAATTTCAAATAAAGTAATGTAAATTAAATTAAAATCATTTATAAACATGACTTAATTTAAAATTATGCCACTCAATACATTCTTAACAACTATCAAATAATCTTTTGATTTCCCATTTCACAGTCGTAGTAATGATTACCTATAACGCGTATATATAAAGAATCAATAATCGAGCACAAAAAGTGAAACATGCAGCCAACCATATATGTGCACTGTGTAAACTTACGTTGTCGTATAATAGCTTGCAACAAATCATAAGAGAAACGTAAATCACAGTAAGCTAACCATGACAAATTCGATCGAGTGACCACTGACAATGAGAGTCGAACTTAGATCACTTGCACACATGTTAACTTGGTTCAGCCGCTAGCTAAGTCATTCGTTACGTGTAAATAAATTGAGCCATGATTACATAGTAATTAATGCATGTTATAAAGACACAACATAGAGAAAATATATGAAAATTAAATAATACAAAATAAAAAAAAATAAAAAAAAAATCCAGTATCATCAGATTTGCATGTGACCACGGGTCGACAACAACATGGTTATTTAATTTCATTGCCTTTTATAGAAAAATCACACACATGTACTATGCCACGTGTCGGGTGGTAGGTGGTTGGGAAAAGCATGTGACATTATTTTCAGACAATGAAATTTGGAACCAACTCTCGTGGTAATGTTTCTAACAAGGAGGAAAGCAATTAATTGAATGGGGAATAGGCACATTTTGGTGGGAACCCCTTTTTAAAATTTAATTTTTTATTTTAATTTTAATTATATTTTACTTGTTGCACAATTTTTGGGGGCAATTGTTAATTTTAATTGTACAATTTTCCCCATCTATATATATATATATATATATATATATATATATATATATATATATATATATATATCACTCTCAACAATAATATGTAGTGACTATATACATGTGCCCTCCACGTGATCACTAGCACGTTACTAGTATTAATGTCACAACACATACTATTCGTATATTAATTGCAATAGTCCCCTTTACTGCAGATTCGAGTTTCTTACATTATAAATCGAAAATGCTATCGTTGATGTTTTGGCTACTTGCGATTGTCGAACGTAAATTTATCGAATCCAATGTGTAATATTGGTTGATTACTATGTTTGTGGTTGAGTTGGAGATTTTTTAGTTCTTGATTCGGCATAAAGAGTGTGAACGAGTCGCATTCGCTTGTTTTGGCTCGAGTTAGAGCCCAAGCTCATTTTGGGATTTTTTTTTTTATTTTTATTTTATTAATTAAAAATATTTAGATTATAATAAATAAAAAAAACAATAATCTGTAATTCCACATATATATTTTAATATTTATATGTTCTTTTGATATTATTTCTATGATATTATTGTATATTATACGTTATTTAAATAAAAATAATATTAAAAAGAGGGCTTGCGAGCCGGCTTGTGAGCTCACAAACAAGTAACTAGAGCTGGACAAAAATTACCAAATACCGATTACCACGGTATACTTACCACAAATTACCGAATAAATACCGAACTATCGGTTACCACTGCATTTGGTACGGTATCGGTACCGTACCATTATCTTACGGTACAGTAGCGGTATTGTATCTTCAATACCATGGTAATACCATATCGTACCGCAACTTATTTTAAAAATTAGTTAACATGTTTTTCCTTTTATATTGTTAAATAAAAAAAATAGAGTCAACACATATTATTAAAAAAAAATAAAAAACAAGAATAAAGATATGATACATCCTACATATATTATATATACATAATTATAATTTTTTTATTTTTTTTCATATATTCATGCAAACTCAATATTTGGTTCTCGTTGAAGTTGTTTATGTCACGTACTTCTTTAGTTTCAAAGTACATTTAATCTCTTATTGGTGGAATACTTTTTGCCATAATTTTCTTCTCCCTTTCTTTCCCCCCTAAGTTTACAGCCTTTTGTTTCATTTGCATTATTGCAGCATAGTTTTTTTTTATTTCTCTTTATATAAACCATGAAACTTTTTTGCTCATTAAATTCTACAATTTTTCTATAGATATCTTAGTAATTAATCATTAGTTAATTGAAATGCTATTACGGTCGTATAATGTACATTCATGTAAATTACCTGATTACCATATTCATTTGCTTAATTTGTTATATTTATGCATTTATTTAGTATTCATCTTAATTATGGTATCATTCGAGTTAATCAACAAAATGATGTATGGTAGATTACCACGTACCGATCATACCATACCAAAACTAACAGTATACCGAATAACGGTATACCGCAATTGTTGGTACGGTAACAGTATAGAATTTTTCAATACCGAAAGATACGGTAGGTACACGGTATTGAACAAAATGTTCGATAACCGTACCGAAACCACCCCTACAAGTAACAACTAAAAGAAATTTTGAGTTAGACTCGTCAAAAAGCTCGAGTTCAGCTTTTTTCGAGCCGACTCATCGAGCTCATGAATCGGCTCAGCTCGTTTACCATCCCTATCGGCATGTTGGTGATTATAGAGCACGTTTTTCATTTAAAGAATTTCTATTTTCTAGAACATAATTGTAATTAGACACATTCGAAAAAGTTGATCTTTCTAGAAAGTATGTAATTATGATTGGATGGGTTCAATTTCCAACCACCGTGAATGTGAAGTAAGTAAAAATTCTCAGAAATTACTACTACTATTTGAGGCATAAATTAGTCAACAAGGGTTAAAATAAGTGTTCAATTGTCACATGGTCTTGTATATTGAGACACAACACAAAGGCCCACTTTATTACAACATCAAAAAATATATCAAGACCATGTGAAACTTGTATATCAAGGCCAACTTGTATATTCAAACTAAACCAATCAGTTGCGATACATCAATGTCTTGAAACACAATTTAATTTACCCTAAAATCAAACTTTTCTCGAAATTAAAGATAAAATTTATGTGAATCGACCTAATTTTTTATTTTTATTTTATTTTTTTGAGAAAAAAGAAGAAACAGATTCCTTTAGACTTTAGTCAGGGGCGGGGACTCAAGCTCACCCTCAATTTACAATTCTCACCTTATATTATACTATATATTTATTTAGTCCACTCAAATTTTATTAATTAGCCCATTTAAAATTTTAATTAGTGCAAAAGAAGTCCCATTTTTTAATTAATTAGCCCACTCAAAATTCAAATTAATGCAACTGTGCAAAAAAAAAAAAACTCTAAAATTTGTTTTTTCTTTCTTTTTGTTTTTGTTTCTTCTTTTCCTATTCTCAAAGAATTCCTAAAAAAAATTTGGGGTCGCTACTCCCAAACCCTCGAAAATTTAAGCGCACCCTATACTAGATTCTTGAACTCACCACTGCCCACTATTACTGCAAATCCTGACTCCGCCACCGATTCTGATTGATCACGTATTCACATACGACCGAGTATGTAGAAAGATTTTTCACCCTCGTAAAATACTCAAAAACAAAAAAAAAAAAATCACTTAATTTTTAAGACACACATCAACATATATATGTGTGTGCGCGCGAATGTATGTAGATTAATTATGACGCAAAATTATTCGATATATTTAACCGATGTAGCATCTTTGTACAAGAGCAAAGACATACAAGATATCCAACATCACAGTCTTCTCTGTCTTCTCTCTCTCTCTCTCTCTCTCTCTCTCTCTCTCTCTCTCTCTCTCTCTCTCTCTCTCTCTCTCTCTCTCTCTCTCTCTCTCTCTCTCTCCAATCTCTTTCTTATGTGGTCCTTCAATCAATTCATAACTCTTTTAATCACTTATCATTTTCTTATCTTCAATTCATATATATATATATATATATATATATATATATATATATATATATATATATATATATATATATATATATATATATATATATATATATATGCATGAGTGTATGGATCAATATATACACACACACATATATACACACTTAGCTTCCTTTTCTTCTTACTGATTTTCCTTGTGTACTACTAAACTTTTCACCCAAGTTTTCTTTTCCATTCCAGAAAAAAAGTAGTTAATTAAATTTTGAAGAATGTCGGGAAGAAGGTCAAGACAGTATTCAAACGGCGCGAGTTCGAGGAGGACGATAACGGATGATGAGATAATCGAACTCGTCTCCAAATTGCAACAACTCCTTCCTCAAACTCGCAACACTAGTAATACGACCCCGGCCTCTAACAAGGTATTATACGTCCATATATTTAATTTATTCCCAATTTAATAAATTCCACGTGCAAGACTTCAAAATATAATATGCATGCGATCATCAGGGCGCGTGTTAGAGATATAAATATTAAAATTATTTTTTTGTAAAAGAGAAATATATACTAAATGATTCACATTACTAACAACTTGAATTATCACGTATAATCATTAATTCGTGCATTATACATGATAATTCAAAATCGATTTCTTTTTTGTACGTAGACGATGTGTAATTTTTTCATGTTTTGTTTAGGTTCAAGTACATATAATAATTGGTTAATTAAATTAAATACCGACAATTTTTTTATAAATATTATAATTCTTTAACGAAAAATTATTGCATGTCATGCATTTGTGTTTTTCTTACATACTGAATGCAACGTTTTCTTGTACACAATTTGAACTTTAAAAACAAATATTGGACGATGTTTGTGTGTATATATATATTTACGAAAATATTTTCATATATAAAATATGATATTAAATTAAAAAAAAAATGATTTATAATTAAGCAGGCATCAGCAAATAAAGTGCTTCAGGAAACTTGCAACTACATAAAGAAGTTGCAGAAAGAGATGGATGATCTGAGTGTGAGGCTGTGCCAGCTGTTGTCCACCGTGGATGCTGATAGCGCCGAGGCTGCCGTAATTAGGGCTTTAATCTAAATTAATTATGTTTAATTAAGGAGGGGTTTATTAGCTTAATTTAATATTTTAATTTGCTAGGTTGAGTCCTCTGCACGTGCTTAAATCAGGTATTAATGAATTAATTAATGATGTATTATGGTCTGTGGTTAGCTAAATTTATTTGTATTTTTCCCAATTCTCCTAAATTTAATTTTCTATTTTTAGTACTTACGAATTTTTTTTCTTTCTAATCAGCTACTCCTTTTCAAAATAAATACTCCTCCCGTTCTAATTTAAATATTGTTTTGGGTTATGGGACACATATTTAAAAAAAAAATGTGCATGTATTATATACTACAGTAAGAATAATATAGAAAACCACTAAAATATTCTGTCTCAACTAATAATTAGGAGTGATTAAAGGTAAACTTGAAAATAATACAATTAATGTTACGTTGAAAATCTAAAATGATAAATAATTCGAGATAAGAAAAACTCTCTATAAAAACAAATAATATAGGAGAGAGGAGTAAGACTTTTATTAAATACTCTTGATTGACACTTTGCACCGTTGAATTGCATGGGTTTGACATTTTGGACCATTAAATTGAAAAAATAGCACTTTGCACCCTTCAATTATAAATTTATTGTCACTTTGCACCCTCTTGCAATTTTTGACTCGAAAAATTATTGGCAACCGGTTTAATGGGATTTGACGAAGGGCATATCTGTCTTTCTAGGATTCCATGCTATTTCATTTTGTACTCATGTTCGTTTGCAGCGGACATGATTTCACGCAACCAAACTTTCGAATTTTTACGATAATCAGAAATCCTATTTCGAATGTTTTAACCACATAAAATGATGAAAGGGAGGGAGAGAGTATATCTTCATGTCATTATATATTGGAAAAACAAAAAAAACTATAATGAATATGGATAAAATTGCTAAAATACCCTTTCAATGCTTTAAAAGTTACGA